CAAATGAGTAGTGACATGGTTATCTTCTGAATATCTGCAGTCTATATAGTTTGCAAAGCAAGTACTTATATTGTGAAGTGTTATATCATCTTAAATTACTTCTATTAAATACTTATCTTCTAAACTCAGTCTCTGTGATAATGTTTACTGTATGGATGGTATTTGCTTAAAATGTACTATAGAAAGCAAAGGATATTTTGACATTATATGGAAAAAATAGCATAAATTTTTGTGCTGAATAGGATTCTTCTCAATTGTGGTATGTGAGAGGGTTGTTTTAGTACTGTTGTAGTTAGAAATTGAAAATAGTTATGTTTATCTCCTTGCATAGATTGCTTTCATATCCTCAAGAAGGTTTTCTCTTATATTTTATATTAGTTTTCTGTTGCTGCTGAAATAAATTAACACAAACTTCAGGGGCTTGAAACAATAGAAATTGATTACACTGTAGTTTGGAGGCCAGAAATCCAAATGGATCTTATTGGTCTAAAATCAAGGTGTTAATAAGGTATATTGTGGAGAAGAGAGACAAAAGTAGGGAAATAACTTGTTTTAGAAATGTTAAGCTTAAGAACAGTCATCCATTGTATTATAAACTATCAGCAGGAAACTAAAATGTATCTGAACTTAGGAAACAGATCTGAGCAAGAACCAGAGCAGTACAAGTCATTTTGTTTGTTTTTTGTAGTAGGAGTACTTAAAATTGGTTTGCTAGGGTAATCATTTATGCTATTGAAATTGTGATGAAAACTGCGTACTGACTTCTCTAGGAAAATACATATATGTCTAAGAACTCACATTTGAATACAATTTTGGGGATTCACAGTCCCTTCCAAAAGGTGAACAAATGTGAGATTGACTTGGGTCTTGAAAAGTAAGATTGCTCTATAATGGGCTTTTTAGGTCCTTTGATTTATGGCTTTATCAAGATAACATTTCCTTGCAAGTTAGTTAACTTGAGTGTGAGTTAAGTGGAGTCATAGCATTCTCTCAAGTCATAAAATTATTACACTTTGTAAAGAACAAATATATATTTTAAATGGTTCAAAAATAAAACCGATATATGATCAATTACAATTCTGTACAAGTCAATTTTGTATATGGTGATTGATAACTTTTTCCAGTTACTTAGTTGAATGAACTGATAGGTGATAGAACCTTAATTTATAAACACCATGGGCAATTATTTTTTTTTTTTACCTCATAGTAACAAAATCAAACTTATGGTTAATTAATTATTATAAGTTCATGAAAGTATTCAGTGCATTATGCTACCACATATACAAGTCTGCAGTACAGTACATATAGTAGCTATGTTATCTGGCTTTGAATATATTCTGGTTTCCCTATGGTGAGCAAGTGGGAGAAAATGAAAAGGTGGGAACTTTTGGTAGTCATCAGAAAATGAGAAGAATAAGAATCAGTATTAAAACTGTTCAAGTATTCTGTGTACCAAGACATGTCCCAATATGTTATAAGAGTCTGTATATTTTCTAAGGAATTTAATTATTCAACATTCTGTTTTAAACTTGGTCTTTTCAAACATTTTCTTCTACTTTTCCAGCAGTTGGGAGGGGTCATAGAATAGGCTCAGTAATCACAAAGCAAGAAGGATTTGCAAGGGAGAAAAGAAACTGAAAAAGAAGGTCACTTTAGACCAAAGATACAGTATTTTAACCAGTTAAAACTCTGCAGTGGAAAAATCCAGAATTCCTGTCCTCCAGAAGTTGCATCATCTTGGAAGCAGAGAACTACCTTTAACCAGTGAAACTGCTGGTGACTTGATCCCTCCAGAACTGTGTGAAATAAATTTCTGTTCGTTGTAAATTACTCAGTCTGGTGTTTTATTATAGATTAAAACAGTAGTTTGATTCCTCTACTACATGTGAAAGGATATATTTAGAATAATTGTTTAAATAAAATCAGGGATTAGAAATTTAGGTACAATTTAGATTTTAAATTAGAAGAAACTAAGCATCTTTTAAGAGCTTCTTCATTTGCCTTAGAATTGAAGCTATCTCCCCAAAGTGATTATTTATGTAGTAATGCTTCCACAGTCTCAAGATGCATACCATGTTTATTTGTAGTAGTAGTACTTGTTCCATCCTACCCTAGAAGAAAGAATATAGTTTGATATCTACACCAAGTTAGCCCTTATGCCTCTTCTCACCAGTTCTCTGTGTTGAAGGTTTTCAGTAATTGGGCCCAAATAAGAATCTGATGAGAGCAATGGAGAATTATGGTTTTCCATGTAAATTTTATTGTTTCCTTACTCTTTCCTGGCTTTGAGTTACCACATGGCAACTTTTTCTATTTTAAATATTTTGTAGACATAATAATAATGATAATAATAATAGTTAATCTTATATTAAATATATGAAAAGATGCTCAACATTATGCATTATCAGGGAAATGAAAAATTATATGAAAAGATATATGAAAAGATGCTCAACATTATGCATTATCAGGGAAATGAAAAATTTAAACCACAGTAGGATACATCACAATGAGTGAAATTTTAAAAACTGAAAACCCTAAATATTGGCAAGGACATAGAACACATGAAACCACCATACATTATTAATGGAATATATAACAGTACAACCACATAGGAAAACTTTCGGTTTTCTGTATAAACTTATATCTATCTTATGATCCATTAATTCAATTTCTAGGTAATTATCTAAGAAAAATGAAAACATCTCCACAAAAAGACTTGTACAAAAGCTTTATTCACAAAGCCAGCAACAAGGAAAAGTCCATAAGCTCATCTGTGTAAGAAAGAATAAAGAAAAAATTGTGATATATTTATTCAACTGAGAATGACTTGGTAAAAAGAAAAATGAACTTCTGATACACGAAACAACATGAGAAAAAGATTTCATATAAAAAGAATGTATGTTGGTCAGTTTTTTGATGCTGTGACCAAAAGACACAGAACAATTTGGAGAAAGAAAAGTTTATTTGGGGTTCATGGTTTCAGAGATTCAGTCCATGGCCAGCCCACTCCATTGCTTTGGCAGAGCATCATGATAGAAGGGCATAATGGAGGAAAGCAGCTCAGTTCAGGGCAGCCAGGAAGCAGAGAGGGAGCTCTAGGAGTCAGGGAAAACAGCATAATCCCAAGGGTACACACCCAGTGGCGTACTTCCTCCAGTACACCTCACCTACTTGTAGTTATCACCCAATAATCTATTTTGATGATTAAACCCATCAAATGGTTTAATCCACAGCTCTCACATTTTACCCCTGAAAATTCCTGCATTGTCTAACATGAGTTTTTTTGGGTGAATGCCTCACATCCAAACCCTAACAGGGTATAGAAGTGATAATTATGTTTGATTCCATGTAATAACAGCTCAGAATAGGTTGAACTAATTGGTATACAAGAAGTCAAAACAATGGTTACTTACTTGGCAGAAAGGAGACATAAAGGAATTTTCTAAAGTGATAAAAATGCCTTCCTTATATCTTGATTATTAGGTTGTTCTACATGTCTTAGTCTGTTTGGGCTACCATAACAAAATACCATGTGTATAAGCTACTTATAGCTTATACACAATAGAAATTTCTCAGTTATAGAGGGTAGGAAGTTCAAGATGAAGGTATCAACAGATTTGGTGTCCAGTGAAGACCTACTTTTGATTCTTGAATCGTACCTTCTAGCCATTACTACATGGTGGAAAGAAAGAGGTAGCTTTGGGGGGTTTCTTTTATAATGATTATAACCTAATGATGAGGGCATTACCTTCGTGATCTAATCACCTGCCCCCGTCTCCCGCCACCTCTGATACCATTACTTTAAGGGTTAGGGATTTCACCATACAAATTTGTGGACTATAGCTGAGATTCAGATAGGACTATCTGTGTGTGTGTGTGTGTGTGTGTGTGTGTGTGTGTACACACATATACATATATACATTTGCTAGCATTCAGTAACTCTAAATTCTGTATTTAAATTGATGCATGTTATTGTATATAAAGTATACTTCAAATAAATATATAAAGTTTTTGGTTTTTTTTTTTTTTAAAGCAAGGGGAAGCTTTCAGACAGTGACAACAGACAACTTAGTGCAGTGACATGCTAAAAAGCACAGAACCGTTACATAGGCCCTCAATTAATATTCATAATAACCAAGACATGTTTAAGTTACAGTCAGTATAATTTTCTAAGAAGTCAGCAAGGTGTACTGCTCTTAGGATTCTATTACTATTTATTATATTAAAAGTTTCAGAACTAAAAGTCTTAGATGTCGGTTTTGTAGAACATTTAGTATGTTAAACATATTTTCTAGATTTTATGTAAAGATCTTTGTTAACATTGGGAAATGATTCTGAGATGGAACTAGACTGCAGTCTCTTAAGATAGTCTGCCAGAAAGAAATCATGAAAGCTTTCTACACACCAATTTGCTTACTAACTATATTAATATTTATATATTTATTCTGCATATAATTTGTGTAAATTATTTAGATTTCCATTTGTTAGGGAAAAAATGTGACATGTAAGCCTAAGCATGTTTGTTTTAACATTTCATGTATGATGTATTCCAGAATGATTAAGAACTTAGAGATGCTACAGTTAAATGTGCTGAAATATTGCAGTAATTTGTCCTGGCTCTAATGCTGCAACAAATGGACACATAGAGAGAAGTTTGATGATAGCCAGTGTAGTTTGACAATATTTGTCTGTGGGCCTACTTCATGACCCCCTTTGTGAGGATCAAATATGCTTGGACTACTAAAATGATAAATTAAAATATGAGTGTTGTAGCCTTTTATTATAAGGTTAATATTCAAAATAAAGAATAACCTTTAATTGTAGTTATTTTATGATTTTTTTTCAAGTACTTTTTTTTTTTCCTGTGGACTGTCATAGAAATAGTAAACCTGTCAGTTTGCACATGTTAACTATTTGTGACCTTTGGATTCTTAAAACTGACAGCCCGGCTGATTTTTGTTTATGGAAAAGCTAATTCCCAATCTTTGCTTCTATTTTAGTAATAGTTATGCACGAGTGCGAGCTGTGGTGATGACCCGAGATGACTCAAGTGGTGGATGGTTACCCCTTGGAGGGAGTGGACTAAGCAGCGTCACTGTCTTCAAAGTCCCTCATCAGGAAGAGAATGGCTGTGCTGACTTTTTTATCCGTGGAGAGCGACTCAGGGACAAAATGGTAATGAATAATGTATCTATCACTATAAGTTTAGGATATGTTCTACAAAATGGATTATCTATTTAAATTTATGATTAGTATATTACTTACAAGAATTATTTTTTCTTGTGACTCTGATTGTGTTCCTGGAGCTATTTTTTTGTTAAAGACAGTGAAATATGACAGTTTTCAGAACTGGATCTGACATACACATTGGATGTGTGTGCTGCTTTTCTGTTTAAGCTTAGTGCAAGAATATTAATGATTAGCCCAATCATATATAAAAAGCTGAGTGATATAGTATCATTTATGCATAAAGGAAAAGGAGAGCATAAACAACCAAAATGAAAAGTGCTTGAAATTTTTAAGACCCTTGAAAGTAACTAGAATTCCCTTTAAATATACATTTGTGAACCAGTTTATGAGGCTGTTTAACTTATGTGTTGTATTTGTGGAAGTGTGGGTTTTTTTTTTTTTAATATTTATTTTTTGGCAGATACAACACCTTTTGTTTGTATGTGGTGCTGAGGATCGAACCCAGGCCACACACATACCAGGCGAGCGCGCTACCGCTTGAGCTACGTCCCCAGCCCCTGGAAGTGTGTTTTAATAAATAATTCTTTATCCAAATAATTCTTTCATACATGAACATTTTGAATACAACCTTCTTTTATTTGGGGGTTTTGGTTTCTTGAGTTGTTTAACTTATCTGTGGCCCCGTCACATGGAGAGAGAAAGGGAGAGTTACCTTAAATCATCTTGAAAGTGTTTTAACTCCAATGTTTTACAATTTTTAAATTTACTTCTGTTACACACACAGTGTATCTCAATTAACAAGAGTGGCATTTGGTGTTGTAGAAAATCCAGTTGAAGTCAGAAGTGAATATAATAAATTTAACATGTTATCTTTTAAAAAGTTTAAATATTTAAGGTGCTTTTAGCCTTAGATGAAATGATACGTGACACATGATAATACTTTTTAAAGCTTGAAGACATCTAAGAAAAGGCTTATAGTGACCTGTCTAGAGTATAATGTTTTTGGTATGAGCAAAGATAACTGGAAATGTTGCTGAAAAATAAGTTGTAGATTTTAGAAATTGAGCAAAATAAGATCTAAGGTGTTTTTTTTTTTTTAAATGAAACTTTAAAATAATAGAAATAAAAAAAGTCAAATATGGAGTAAGAGTTGGGGGAGAAAACTTGCTAGGAAAATCATAAGAACAAGGAAAAGATGACTTAGATGTAAAATAGAAAATAAATTAGTAAAACAGAATTTGGGGTATATTAACAGAGATGAACAGTTTATTTTAGAATAATTAAAGGATCAAATCTATATTAACTTAGAGTGAGGCTGGTCAAAGATAACTCAGATTAATGGATTCAGTGATGGTTCAGAATGTGGCTTTTACATAAAGCTAATAAAAATAAACATGGGATTCAGAAAGAACATAAATCTATTCCCTGTGAATAGGGCTTAAGAGGGAGGGAGAAACATACTTAATCTTCTCCTAGAGTATGGAATCATGATATGTTAGCAAGAAAATAGGTTCTTCTGCTAAAGGTACTGACCAGAAATCAGAACACCTGTTGTTCACCTAGTTAATTCTCCTTGAGGAACCCTGTTATTTGTAAAACAGATAATAAACATCTCAGAGTCAACATAAAGGAAAAAATGGAGGGTTGCCATATTTCTTACAGGGATTAGCTATAGTAAAGCATTCTAGGTTGTGGGGACTTATTTGATCAAAGGCAGAGGTAGTAACATGGCGATCAATTGAAAACAGCAGTGTTGCAGAGTCGGACGAGAAATGAGATGGTAGCATTGAAATAAGCAGATAATTGGCCTCCTCTGCTGAGTGATGGACTTCCAGCACTATTTCTGAAGAACCCAGTGATGAATTAGAAGTATACATACTTTCACAATCATTAATTGGTATTTTTATTGATTAGTGTTTTTCTAGTCTCTCTTTCTGGATTTTGCTTTTTTTCTTTCTTTTTTTTTAAGAAGTACACTGTAACTACCAGGTTCTTCCCAAATTAATGATAGCTTTCTTTTAAAAGCTTTCTCAGTAATAAAACAGTCCATTTTCATAGTTTTTCCTATGTAATAATTCATTATATAAAAACGGACAAAAATGATTCTGTACCCATTTGCCTCTTGGTTATATAATTACATGTGAACTTCTTGCCCCAGTGCTCCATGAATAATTTTGTAACCTTTAAGAAATAATAGATAAACAATAAAGGAAAGTGCACATAGTTATTTGTTGGCTAAAAAGACATACTAGATAATATTTTAAAGGATGTTTGTAAGTTAGAATACTAGTAACCATAGTGAAGAAGAAAGAACTTTTCTCAATGATGAGAGAAACAGTGCTATTGCAGAAGACTTTTCCAACCTTTGATTTACAATTATATGTACTAAAAATAATTCTTATTATTATTTCCTAGAGGGTTATATTATACAATTGGTCCTCGGAATCACAGTTTCTGCATTTGCAGATTCAACCAACTGAGGAATAAAAAAAATTTTTTTAAATACTGAAAACATATACTTTTTTCCTAGTCATTATTCCCTATACAACAGAGTATAAAACTACTTTCATAGCATTTGCAATTGTACTAAGTATCATAAGTAATCTAGAGATAATTTAAACTGTATGAGAGGATGTGTGTAGATTGTGGGCAAATACTACACCTTTTTATGTAAGGGCCTTGGGCATCCTCACCTTTTGGTATCTGCTGGGGCCTGGGTGGGGGTTCTGGAACCAACCTCCTTAAATACTGAGGGACAGCTGTATTCATTTTTTTTTTTTTTTTTTTTAAATAACAGAGCCAGTACAAATAAAAAGCAGGCTGCCCAGGAATTTTTTCTAAGAAGGCATCATTCTATGTTGAGTCATTACTCATTCACTCACTCATGCATTTTCTTACTAGAAGTAATCAAAAATTATTTCCTATGATATTTACATATAACTTACTCTCTTTTATGATGCCTGTAGAGGAAGAGGTTATTTTCTAGGTTGTCCTTATGATCCTTCTCTAAATTAGAGTTTGCCAGTGCATTTCACCTTTACTGGATTAAAGTAATCAGAACATCCAGACTGATTGCCTTACAGTTTTTTTTTTTTTTTTCCCAAGTGTGTTCTTGAGGAGAAAAATATTGGAAAGCACTGAATAATTGTCTTTCATGCTTTAATTTTGATTGACAAAGACTTTGAAAGAAACACCAGGCTTGGTTGTTATAGCATAAGAAAGTAAATGTACTGTCTTTCTTATAGATACTCCGGGATAGAATGGTCCTCTTTGTAGGAAAGATTTGCAGAATCTCTTTTTTGAGTATGAGTTGCATTCTCCATTTCCTTCTAAATTTGTTCAACCTTGATTTCTTTATTTAATAAAAGTTATTGTTATTTTGGACAACATTTTGTGAGATGCAAACTGAACTTTGACTCAACATGTAACTTAAAAGGAGCTGTACATTCTCATGATAGAAATTTTCTTACATTTAATTTTCATTAGATACAGCTTGTTCTTTAAGTACAACACTCTTATAGATATTTTGTTAAAATATTTACCATTTATACAGGTTGTTATTTGGCCATTTTTAGCTAATTGTATATAGTATGGAAATATAAAATACTAAATTATAATGTACCTTTAGAGTCTTTATAGTTACCTAAATTAACTTCAATAGTAGCCTATTAAATTTGCTAAAATATTTATTACTGCCAAACAGTGTTTCATTACCATAGGAATTTAAAATAGCTATTCTTAAGTTTACATATTAGACAAATACTGTAAATTTACTCATATAATTAAAGTAATGCTTTAAAAAGCATATCTGCTAAGAGATGACAGAAGACAGGAGAGGATAAATAAATCAGTAGGATGATCTTTAAAAAACTGAATTACTTAAGATGCTCTGTGAAAACAAGAATAAACAGGGTTAAACCTAGTGTGACAAAGCTAATTTTGAAACGGAAAAAGGGAAAACAAGAAGCATTTCTAGTTTAGGAAGTTGCCACGGAGAGTAAGGAATTATTTTTAGGATTAGTAAATTATTAGGTTGTGAATAAAAAGTTGTTTATAAAACTCAGAGTTTCCTCTTGTTTTAAAAAAAAAAAACAACCACAGCTTTCGCTGGGGTGCACACCTGTAATTCCATCAACTCATGAAGCCGAAGCAGGAGGGTCCCAAGTTCAAGGTTCAGCAATTTAGCAAGCTCCTAAGATACTTAGTAAGACCTTGTCTCCAAAAAAATACAAGGAATGGGGATGTACATAGGTGGTAAATTGCCCTTGGATTCAATCCCAAGTACCTAAATAAATAGAACACTTTTTTTCAAAATGGAGTTTCTTGCCGGTTACTAGAGACTAAAATAAAATTGGAATGATTGTTTTCTAGGAAGAAAAATAAAGCATTTATAATATAGCAGTAGCTCTATTAAAAATAAAACTCATCCCCTTTCTATCACAAGAAAGTCTCAGAAGACCAGGGAAACATCTTTTTGCCTTGGGTTGAACCTACACAAGTTCAAAACAGGAATTTCCTGCTAAGCTTTTCCACTATGCCTGTGTGAATTATTCTATTGTGAAACTTCAGTCCTGCAGAATTTTTTATCCATTAAAAACTATCAAGAACTATGTAATGTTTTGAACAGCCAACAATAAAAAAAAAAAAATAAAAAATAAAAATCAGCAAAAAAAAAAAAAATAAAGAAAAAAAAACAAAAAGAAAAAAAAAAAAAAAAAAACAAAAAACTAGTTGCCTTAACTAGCATTTCTTAGGATTCAGCCTTCCTAGCAGTTTTTTTTTTTTTTTTCTCCTGAAAGATATGTTCTGATATCTAGAATACCACAGTTAGGTAAAGGGTGGGTAGAGGTGGTACAGAATTGTCATTATTCCTCATTGCTCTTTCCGGCTACTACTGTCACCTGCATACATAAATCTCTTTATTGTTACTCGGTACCATTCCAATCACCATCCTCTAGCTTTCATTCTCATCCACTGACATTAGT